CACATGGAACCAATCAAAGATGCACCTGTTGGTAAACAATGTCCAGACCACATTCCAAAGCAGCAAAACACAGAGAGAAGCAATCAGATAATATTGCTTTTCTTTTCCTCTGAGGCTTCTTGTCTTCCCAGGAGAAGAATCCTGGACAAAGAGGATTTTTCAGAAAATATCATGGTGCCTATGTCCCACTGCATCATCTCTTGTTCCTGTGAGATCAGTGCAGTGCTGGGGATGTTTAGCCTGGAAAAAAGGAGGCTTAGGAGAGACCTTATTGCTCTCTACGATTACATGGAAGGAGTTTATAGAGAAGTAGGGATCAATCTCTTCTCCCAGGTAAACAAGTGACTAGATGAGAGCAAATGAAAGGAAATGTCCTCAGGTTGTGCCAGGGGAGCTTTAGATTGGATATTAGGAGAATTTTTTTCATGGAAAGGGGGGTCAGGCATTAGAACAGGCTGCCCAAGTGGTGGAATCACCAACCCTGGAAGTGTTAACACAATGTGTAGATGTGGCACTTGGGGATGTGGTTTAGTGGTGAACATGGCAGCATTAGGTTGATAGTAGGACTCAATCTTGGAGGCCTTTCTGACCTTACCAGTGTGCTTTGTGAGACAGGCTGTCTCCCATTTCTGGGAGCCTTTCAGACTGTTTTCAAACATCCCCCAGATTAATTTCTGCCTCTGGAAGCAGTGGGAGCACCTCTATTCTGGTGTGTGCTGGAGCCAAAATAGCTCAGGGCTTCAAATAACCTGAGGTGGAACACCCATTGCCTGTAATTAGCATCCCATGTCCAGGAGCTGGTGGAATGACCTGAAACTCAAGAGAAACTCAGGTGTCCCTAACCCAGGGTGTAACAAGGGGAGGAGGTCTGCTTGCAAGAGCATCTTGTACCTCAACAGCAGAGCAGCCAGAACCGTGATCTGGAGCTGGAGCTGGAAGAGGCAGGAGGTGAAATCACTTAGAGCATCAAATACCTTGAGCTGTAAGCAGCTGGAGCTTTTATCAGTCAGAGCTGTGAGAACCAGGAGCATCTCTAATCCAAACTAGCTGGGGTGTCTGTCACCCAGGAGCCAAGCTGGTTATCCTTTACAGGGAGCTCTACCCAGCAAGGAGCCTGTCCTCTTCCCTTGTGGATTAAATACATGTCACATACTCCTCACTGCATGAATGGTCTCTCTCAGTCCCATTCCTGACAGCAGAAGTAAGATGAGGGTGAGCCTGGCTCTTCTGAGGGGCCACAGGCTGCAGGTGAGGCAGCAGCACAAGGCAGTGGAGTCCCCTCTGTACCTAAAAAAGGAGAGACACCAGTCAGTCAGAGCTCCTGGTGGCACATCCCAGAGACCCTCAGGAGATGCCTTTCCCCCTCCCTATCCAGAAGAGACACGTCTCTCCCGGAACGGCAGTCCAGGAAGGGCATTGGCACAAATCCCTCTGTGAAGCAGGTGCATTTCACCCCGACAGCACAGGAGCTGTACCCACAAACACTGGGCTGTCCCCAGCACTACACAGAACTCCTGGCAACGGGGTGCAGCTGGGCCAGACCCCAGCAACTCTTCATTCACCTTTCCTGAGCTCCCTTCCAAGCTCCCAGGCCCCCAGACATTAGCTGCAAATGTCCTAGGAGAGGCTTTGGTCTGGGGGGCTGTGACAGCTCCCCACATGGTGCTGACCCCCCTCTGGCATTGTTTGCCCCCCCCCCCCCCCCATATTCATACAGTGCCAAGAGAGGCAGCAGGAACAGAACCAACCCAGCTAGCTCTCAGAGGGGATCTCAAGCACTTGTCCATCACCCACAATGAGATTTTCCCAGTTATGCTTGGGGCTGGCAGCTCCTGGCTCCTTGCTGCACCTCCACAGCATGGCCTGTGCAAACAAAGCCCCGTGAGGACACACGGGCAAAGCTGTGTCAAGAAGGACCTGTCCTAGCACCATCAAGGAAAACGATCACCACAACCATCCTAGATTCGAGGGAGGCATCACAAGGACACCACAAGGATCCCGGCCCCAGCAAGCTGGCAGCGGCCTGAAGGGAGGTGGAAAAGCACAATGCAGGACCCCTCGAGCAGGAAAGGAAGGTTCGGCATTACTGACAGAAACGCCTCAGGACCCGTAAAATATTATCCCCGTTTCGGCCGTAAGCAGCCGCGGGGCAGGGGACTGCTGCCAGTCCAGGGCTGACTCCGACTGGGAATTGCTGACACCGAGGTGCCTCACCTAGGGGTGCTGTGGGCAGGTCCATGTCCCTTGATATCCCTGGGACATGGTGCCATCCCAATAGCGCTCAGCCCGAGAGTCCCTATGCACCTGGGTCAGGACAGATCAGGAAGCGCGGAGTCCTGGCACAGCCTGCAGGGATCTCACGGGAGAAGAGGAAGCCCTGAGGAAAAAACCAAGCTTGCCGCGCCTCCTTGTGTGCGCCAGGAGGGTGGAACACCGGGAGCAAGTGGCTGAACCTTGAGACAGCCAGAGACCGCCCGCTCCGGGATCGGGATACGGGCGGGTGCCGCTTCGGGTCTTACAATTCTGTGGCGTGGAGCACCTGCGACAGGAGGCTTTTCCTTCCTGCCCGCTGCTAGCAGCAGTTTGGCAAGGGTCGTGCTGGTAGCACCTCAAATAATGAATACAGGTGAGTGGTCTTAAGTACATACTTGCTTTAGTAGTGGTCATTTGTAGTTACTTCTATTAAAGAAATTCACAGAAACAAAACCTATGTGTCCTCGTGTCTGCTCAGCAGCCTCCTGGCTGCTTCTGGCTCACTGTGGAGGACATGGCTAACTGTGGAGGTTCATGCCTTTGGTCCCTGGTCCCAATGGACAACCCCTGCATGCACTGGAGGAGAAAGAGACCCGGGGAGGAGACTCCATGATCAAGGACGGGCATAGAAGGATGCCAAGCAGGAATGACCGTCAGGGAAGCCCAAAACAACCACCCCTGTGGGAGGAGAGATGGGGACAGGGGGCCTGTGGGAGCCCCATTCTGGGGACACAGGGCTCACTTGTTCCTGGAAAGAGGGAACCTCAGCACTCCTGGCTGTGTGGCTTAGAAGTCCTGGGTCTTGGGTGCTCTCAGCACACCCATGGGCTCCTGCAGCAGCAGGGCTGTTGCTGAACTGGCCACCTCAAACCAGGCAGCTGCCTGTGATGTGGACTGGGGCTCAGAGCCAGCCCTCAGCCCTGCTCTGTTGGCTGGCAGGGTACACCTAGCAGCGATTTAGGATCAGCATCCAGGAGGGAGCAGAGGTGACCCAGCATGCCTGTGGCCACCCGTGACATCTGTTCCCACAGCAGGCACACTGCCAGCTCCCAGCTCCGGATGTCACCACAGCACGGCCGCTTTCTCCTGCTTCTCTGTGCACATGTTTATGTGTGTAAACATGCCCTCCTCCTCCCGGCTAGCTGATGACAGGAGGGGGGGGTGTGGCAGAACCCCCCTCGAGTCCCGTTGAATCCCAGGTGCCAGCGTCGGCGCATCATAAAACACAGAGCAGCACATAGGTCCCGAGGTAACTTTATTTGATGGTAAAACTTCCCCTCTTCTTCATCCCGGGACCCCGATCGGGGGGAAAAAGGAGCTTATATTTGGGGGCAGGTCTCAGGGGAGGGTACAATCTTTAACAAATCAGGAGAATTGGGAGTAAAAACAAGGCGGGAACCACAATGTATAAACCAATAAAAATCCCAAGGGAGGAGAACAGTTTCAGTAAACTGGTAGAGTTTGGAGAAATAGAAACTAGCAACTAACAACAAGAAAAGTGACGAAAATTCTGGGAAAAGGCGGGAACAAAAAGGAAACAGCACAAACTACCAAATTACAAATCAAACAATAAACCTACTAATAAAACAAAAAACACACTACAACTTGAACACACGCGCACGCCGTCAGCAGCGGCACAGCCTCACCCCTTCACACCAGGGGCAAATGCAGCGGGAGTTGTGCAGCGGGAGTTGTGCAACGGGAGTTGTGATGGTGAAAACAGGCGAGTGGAAAAGGTACTTTTGAATAAATTCCCGTCCTGTCCAGCAGGTACCAGCACAGAAGCACAGATATGATAGAGCCTCGGGGCCCCCTGCAGCCCTCTCTGGGCAAAACCCCACTGAGCCAGAGCAACCCCAGACCCAGACTTACCTCTTCCCTGTTTGTCACCATGGTAGGCAATGGACAAACCTTCGCACACCCAAGTCCCAGCTCTTCCACCATAGCATATTACACCCAACACCCACAAGGTGCACAAGAGAAGCCACTCCCATGTGATGGTCTCTTCATAATACTTCTGTGGGGAAAGCAGAGTGACTGGGAATCCCACAGCATCACCATCACTCCCCACTTGTGTCTTGATGCTGGGGACAGTCCAGGCATCCATAGAGATGGGTTCAGTACTCTTGGGTGTCTCTGAGCAGAGGGCAATGCTGTCACCAGATCTGCACACTGGTGGTGTCCACAGAGAAGTTGTTCCCATAGCAGATTTGGCTTTTATCTTTTCTGTTCCCATAGCAGATATGGCTATTGTTTTATCTTCTCCTCACCGAATTTTGTTGTCTGGCCTCATTCCAGTGTGGGTGGGCAGGAGAAAGCCTCATTTACCTGACAACTTCATAGTGTCTCTGGCCACACAGCCTAGAAGAGTACAGCACTGATTCTGATGCTACAGAAAGACACAGAGACATAAATAACAACACACAGGCAAGAAGACAGGCAGCGCTTTTATTGCTGGCTTTACCAAGGGAAAAGGGGATCGAGCACAGTGAAGGCAAACTCCTCATGGTGCACGTCCCAACATCCAGGGCAGCAGCAGCTCCTGCCTGCAGTGGCTCCACAGGGTGCAATGAAGATGGCAGTATCTGCAACGGGATAGGAGAGCAGGATCACCCTTTCCTCAGCCATTACTGCTCTGGCACTGCTGCAACCCTGTGTCTGGAGTCAGGTATCAGAGGAAAGGGAGACCCAGGGAAGGCACTGGGTGCTGTGCAGCAGTGAGACGAAGTAGCTCCAGCACCCGCAGTTTACCAGAATATGCCCATTGCCCTCCTCCGGTTGATGTCTCTCTTCAGCTGGCAGAGTGCACACGGGCTGCAACACCAGATGGCGCAAAAGTCGCTCAGGATGGAGCCCTGTGGCGCAAGGGACATTGCATGAAAAATCCCTTCCCACACGAAACGTTAAATCTTTCAGCCTTTCTATTTTACATCGTCAGCACCCCATGGGAGCTCAACCTGGGCCCTGCAGCTTCTGCTGCTCATACCCAGCAAGGACTGGGATGAAATAATGTGTCCTGGGATTACCTCCAGCTCACAGTGGTGAGGCAGATGTGCCCCTGACTCCTGGCCAGCTGGGATGCTCATGCAACTCCTTGCCTCTGCCCTTCCCCTTGGGCAACCCTTTCTCCTTTCTTAAGCCCCCGCACCCATCCTGTGGCTTTTGTCGCTGTTGGGACAGGCCCCCAAGCTTGTCACTCACTGGGATGTTGTATTTGGTGCGGTAGAGGGTCCTCATGGCCACACTAGAGCCGCACAGGCAGCACTCGTCCATGTCCCCAGCCACTTGGCAGTTCAGGCAGAAGAAGAAGAACATCCCACAAAGACCTGTGGGACAGTGAGATGTGGACTTGGCTGAGGGTTGCAAATACCGAGGAAAGGGGGAAAAGCCAGCTGAGAGCTGCAGCTCTTGACATCAGGCAAGTGCTGCTCTGCCTCCAGTACCCATAGGAGTGGGGTTGGCAGCAGGGGTAATGCTGCAGGAAGAGCAGGGTAAAACACCAGGAACACGTAATGAGCAACAGCAGGAATGAGGGCTACGTATGTACTCACATATGCCGCAGTCGGAGCAGCAGTCCAGCAGTCCTGTTTGCCACTCCCCTGGCTGTCGGGCAGCTGAAAACTGGGGTTGGACTGTAATCACAGTTTGAGAGGCCATTGCCAGCACAGGTTCAGGTCCCTCCAGGCAGTTTGTGGTCTGGAAAGAAAAGCCATCAGAGGCAGATGCTGCAGGTATTTCTGAAGTGGGCATCTTGCTCAGGCTGCTGCATTCAGAGAGAGTTCCTTGGGGAGTCCCCACTGCCAGGGTAGTGCCACCCTCACCACAAAGTGGGGGGCACAGCTCTGCCAGAAGCTGACACTACCCTCTGAAGGAAAGCCCTCTCTAAAACCAGTCTTCCACGAAAGGCAGCAGCACACCCTCCTTATGCAAGTAAAACACCTCTGGGAAAACAGAGGTCCTTCTGCCTCAGAATTGAAGTGCTTCAACACCTCAAACTAGTCTTTTCATCTCCAGGTCATCTTTCATTGTTGTCTGCATAAAATCACATAAAAATATCTGTGCAAAATTGTCTGGGTAAAATTGTCTGCATTTTGGGCTGCTTTTTGGCATTTGTTTTGTTTCATTTATGATCACAGTCTCCCAAAGTTACTACTGCTCAGTTCTAGCCTCCCCAGCCTCTCAGGAGTCACCTTAATCTTTGCTTTGTTCTATGAGAATCTCAACTTATTTGCTTCCCCCTCTCCCTTCCTTCTTCACTTGCCTTCTTATTGTGTTTCAAGGCAGTGGGTTTTCATAGTCTCTTTCCATCACCCTAAGCCCTGCCACCAGTTCCTATCCCTCCTCCACTTGACTGTGCCAACACATCATCATCCTCCCCTTCCTCAGTCTTGTGGGGTCACCACGGCCTGTGGCATTCCTCTCCATCCCATCCTTTCTCAGCAATGGGCTGCATTCTCTGAGAGTAGGAAAGCTCCTGCTCCACAGTACCATCCCCAAAATCACCTGACCAAAGTAACAACTCCCCCTGCACCTCCATCAGTGACCCCTTCCCTCCCTGCCACCTCCGCAAGGCACAGCACCAGTTCTGCCACTCTCACTTTTGGTTTTGGAGCTTTGATTAAATCAAACAAAAAAATGAGGATTCTCCCAGGAGAACTCCCATGCAGACACACTCCCTGCCCTTTGCCCAGTCTCAGCACCACTTTGTTAGGCACTCTAACAGGATTGTTTTCTCGCCAGAATTGCACAGTTACACAAAGTTAAGTATTAAGCGACACAAGAAATGGGGTGGAACAATTACTAAGCTCAGCACTCAGACGATGCTATTGAGCTCATTACCCACATCAGAGTGGCACCGGCTATGGCATTGAATTTGTACTGACTAATGCCAACAGGTTGCTTGCTGGAAGCTCCTGTGACTCCCCAGCATAACAGACACATCCCAGCTGTCAGAAACAGCCTGTTGCTGTAGGACGAGCCCTTGTTCCTGACAGTCCAGGAAGTGGAAAAAGGTTGTTGAATTATGGTGTAAGAGGGAAGAAAGCTCATAAAAACCTCCACATGGTTTGCTCCTGACTTTTTGCAGGCAGTGGAACATGGCTAGGCTGTCCCTGTCTGAGACACCTGTGAGTGCAGCAGGGGACACTGCATCCATTGTCCCTCTCTGGACACCTCCTGGCCCTGCCTTGGCCAGCTGTCCCTGTTTGTTCATCTATGAGATCCCAGGTAATTCCCACCACCTCTGCAGCCAGTGTAACACCTCCTGGCATGCCAAAACAGCAGGCCCCTCAGGAAGCCTTGGCACACGATGATTTAAGAAGAAAGAAGGATGGACAGGGGAGGAGAGAGACCATGGACAGGCTGTGCAGTGGTGAGCCCAGCATGGGGCTCCCATGCAGTGACAGGGATGTTCAGCAGCAGGCAGGACCACAGGGAGAAGTGTGCACAGGAGCAGCAGCAGCAAGAGAAATTTTAGGGACAGGATCCCTCTAGTCAGGCTTCCCCTTCCCCTCTCCAGGTATGAGAACACCACATCCCTGCAGAGGTGGTGGCTGCAGTGCAGAGCAGGCAGCAGCCCGGAGAAGCTTCTGCCACACACTTACCTACTGAGAGATGGGCCAGGCCCAGCACACCAAATGTATCACAATTTCACAATTCACACCCCCATGGCATCACCAGCCATGCTGGAATGACTGATGGGGACAAAAGCATCCTGAGGTGCATGCAGCTACATTTCACCAACAGCCAAGGTCGTAAAGCTGTATCTACAGGCACTGTATGTGCACAAATACAGTGCACTATATGAGCAACACAGTGCAAAAACTGCTATCCTCTGCCTCTGTTCCTCACATCTGTCAAGATGCCATCAGCAGTACCCACCATGCTGTGGTTAACCCCAAAGCATCTTTCCAGGTAAAAAACCTCACCTTTGCTTCCAACCCTTCCCCTTGCCCAGCACCACCACTTCAGCCACAAGCAGTTTCTGTAGCACAACCAAAGCAAAGCCATGCCATACATACTTTCCAAGCTGTCCTTGTCCCAGCAGACACGTCTCTTTTTCCTGGTTCTCATGTTCTATATGCACTCTGGCAAATTACCTTTGCTCCCTCTGATTAACAGAGCAAATGGTGCAGCTTTGCATGATGGCAGCTTCCCTGCTGCATTCCTGCTGCCAGCCCTCGCATTTCTCCACCCAGATATTCTCCAGGCCCAGAGCCCTGGTGGGAGAGGTTTCCAGAGAAGGGTAGTTTGTTTCCAGGCTCCTGTGCTGCCTTAAGCCATGTGCTACTGGAAGTGCAGCACCTGTAACTACACTGGGTGACACGGAGGTGGGCTCTCTCAGGCTGAAAATGCATTTTTCTGCATTTCCGGGGATCATCCATAGAACCGTCAGAGCCATCTGGGTTTAAACAGCTGGGAGTGCCATCACACCCACGCACCCCTCAGCACAGACAGAGCTACTTAAAAGTATTGTGGTAAAGGTGAAGGTAGAGTGGGGACAAAAAAATAATCATATTCTCCTTAAAGAATGAAGCTGGGAGATATTTTCAGGGATCAAAAGTCCTTTAGCATTTCTCTTGAGAGTGATGGAGAGAGGGTGGATGCAACCTCCACCTTCTGCATGGGAATGCAGGGCTCACAGCCCAGTGCAGACAGATGGGCTTTGTAATGCCATGCAGGAAGATGGCACTAATTGTACCTAGAGAGGACACAGATAACCCACGACCCAGCCAGGTTTTTTATTGCAGGTGCAGAGGAATTCACGCTCAGGGTCCATATCTCTTCAACATCGAGGTGAGCTGGTACCAGGCACCCCATGCCTTTCTATTCAGAAAGGTGTCACTGACCAACAGCCCAGGACAGCCACCTGGACCACCACAGCAGGGGCAATGCTGTGTGGCCTGCAGAAGTCACTTGCCTGCAGGAAGACGCAGCTCTGCCCTGCAGCAGTAGTCATTTTCCCAAATTTTGCAACTTGGGTAAGCAAAACTGGCTCCTTCAATGTATTAAATATCCTTTCTAAATGCTGATACAATAACAAAATACTAGTGAAAATCTCTCTCTGCAGCAGACACAGGGAAATCTCAGCTACACATCTCAGCCACATCTCAGCCAGGGGCTGCTGAGATGGATGGAGCAGGAAAAGGATGGGTACTCTCAGGTGGTGCAAGAGTAACATACACAGGGGTAGGAAGACAAATTCAAAACTTTATTTCTGCAGTTAAGTAGGGAAAATCAAATGCAATCAAGGCAAGCTCCACATGGTACATTTTCCAACAATGAGAGCAGTGGCGACTCCTGATTGCAGCAGCTCCAAAGATGCAGCAAGGATGGCAGCATCTGCAACAGGATGGAAGAGGAGTGTCAGGACTGAGCTGAAACTGGTGCCTCACCACACTCTGTGTGTTGCCCCAGTCCTCCCCCCTCCATTCTGCACGAGGTCCCCAGCCACATTTTGCTTCAGGACACGTCACTCTGGTCAGCTGTCCATGGCCATTTCCCCACTGCAGCAAACTTAGTCTGGTGTCAAGATGTTGGCAGGAGAGGCTCTGGGAAGCCACCTGGCTGCATGTGAGAGCAGCTTTATGGACGAGCAGCAGCACCCCTAGCTTACCAGAATATGCCAAGCTCCCTCCTGCGGTTGACATCTCTCTTCATTTGGCAAACAGAGCACACAGTGCACCACAGGGTGATGCAGTAGTCAGAGCAAATGGACCCCTGTCAGGGAGAAACTGGTTAGGGACAGAGGCTTCCCAGAGATCATGTTCCAGCCAAGAAAATGTTAATCACATTCCAGGTTAAGTACTCTTTTTGGCAGGCTGCAGCATCCTGTGTAGAAAACACTGAAGCCCTGGGCTGGTAAACCCCAGGCACCTCGGAAAGGAAGGAAGGAGCCCTTTGTGCAGGCTGCAGATATCTACTTATCTTTTGACTTCTGAAGTTCAGACTGGGAAGAAAAATGCTCACAGGAACAGACAATGTGGGCAAAGTGAACTTGGGACCCTATGGTTTGCCCTTGGGAGGGCAGCAACCACCTCCCATGCGGGAAGAAATACCCTCACATATGCACTGTCCACCTTTCTCCCAAATCTGGTGATGGATCTTTATCCTTGTAACCATCTTCACCTATTCTTTATTCAACCCACAGTTATCTCAAGTCTTTCCTATCTTTCAAAGCTCAAAGAAGGAAGCAGCAGCTGAGGAGATATGAATGGGAAAAAAAGGGGGACTGGAAATCACTGCTGTCCTGAGCCCCTCCCTTAAGTGCAGAGAGAGGGGCCTTGGGGGCACCCTGTCCTTCAGGCTCGCAGCAGGGTGAGGGGGTAGGCTCAGCACTGACCGGGATGTTGTATCTGGTGCGGTACAGGGTCCTCATGGCCACACTGGTCCCACACAGGCAGCACTCATTCATGTCCCCAGCCAGTTGGCAAGCCAGGCATGGGAAGCAGAATGTCCCGCAGCAGCCTGGCAGGGGGAGAAACACAGCACTGGCTGAGGCTCTGCATGCCCGCCTGGAACCACCGGGGCAGCTGGGAGAGCCAGGCTGCCCAGCTGCACAGTGGCACCACTGAGCCAAGCAGCAAGGGCAAGGAAACTGTGTCCAAGGCACTCACAGACACCACAGTCGGAGCAGCAGTCCATCAGGCCTGTCTGCCACGTGCATCTCGAGACAGAGGACATGGCCCCGCCATACTGTGGCTGGATTGTCACAACGGTTGGGGCAGCCATTCCCAGGTGCTCTTCTGAAAGAGACAGGAAACAGGAGAGTCAGTGAAAAAACTGTGGTTGATCTGAACCTCCAACCAAACAGGTGGCTATCACCCCTCAGCAGGCTGCCTTTTGCCCAGCTCCCTAGCTGCCACTGGAGGTGATAGAGCATAACCATATCTTGCCTGCATTTCTATCTGTGATAGATGTTATGGAATAATTCGTGCTTATGTAAAATATACATTAAATAAGTCGTGCTTATTCGTACGAAAAATTCTTAAATATTTAAAACCACAAGCCGCAGCTGGGGAAAGAGATTGTTTCACAAAATGTGAAATCACAGATGGCAGCGAAGAGAAAAAACTAATTAGTAAATGAAAGACGTAGCTCTGTGAGGAGATAGGCCCTTTCCCGGGACAGTCCAGAGACTGCCCAAGTGATGAGTACCCGAGAAGTATTGGTGATCAAGATAGTCAGAGCCATCAAGGGTGTGCATCCCAATACCAGGTTCCCATAAGCGACAATCAGCATTCATCACTACCCAGAAACAGTTTTGTCCAGCCCAGCACAGAGAAAAGGAAACTACATGAATATGTGCAGCAACGAGAATAGGAGAAACTATGCCCCAGGCGAAATAGATCATATAAAACTAGTCCGGCAGAGAGAGCATTTGTGAACAGAGAGGATTTGAAGCGATAGAGTTTGGATCTGTGTTCACCCAGCGCCGATCCCTGGCTCGACGCTGACCCTTTGATTGTGGCTATCGGAGACCGAATTTTGGTTGCAAAATAAAAACCTTTTTTTATCGATTATTGATTTGGCTTTATCATTTTATTATTTATAACATATCTGTTCAAGGTTTTTACGTTATCTCCCATTTTATCCAGCCTTCAAAATAGTATCAGGCCACTGATGTTCCCCACTCCACTCCATAAAGGCTTTGCTAGTGCTTAGACATGACTCATTCCCCTTGTTCTGAGCTGGGCTGGGCAGTGAACCCAGGCTAAAGGGAGTCACTTGGGCATTCTGGTTGTTGGACTTGTTGTATTTTACACAAGAGGCTTTAGCATGGGCACAGGGCATGTGGGAAGCACCTGTGGACTCATTTCCTCATAACAAAGCCAGGCTACACACAAGAGAGTAGTATAGAAAACTCGTATCTCTGGTTTCCTGATGTAGGGAGCCAGAAAGGGAGAAAATCAATGTCCAAAGTCTGAAACACTCTCCTTGCCTTTCTCTGGTTAAGCAAGTAAGTAAACCTTGCAAACCAGTAAGCCGCAGGTCTAAAATAATAATAACGATGATGATGATAATGATAACAGTAAGAATAGAAACAAGAACCATTCCTTTCTGCTTCTAATTCCTTAGCCAAGTGAAAAAGTACAAAGTATTTCTAGGTAACAATTCTGAGAAAGTTTGGGCTTGGGTGAGGTTCTCTGAGATAAGATAAACTGCCTGCTCACATTTGTTGAACTTTCTTTTCTGTAAGTTGGGTTGATTTATTTTATGTCTTAGAAACAGAAGTTCGACAAAGGCAGACCCACCCTACTGGGTGGTCAGCTTCCTCCTCCTCCTCCTCCTCCTGCTTCTGAGCTCAGAAGCCAGAATAGAAACTAAAATGAAGAAGTGATGCTGGGGGAGGGGGAACACTTACTTTCTCCATCCTTTGGAGTAACGTGTACACCCACACAAGCAGTGCCACCCACACAAGTATTATTCACCTATTTTCTCCTCTCCTAGCTGCAAACAGTAATGAAGATTTTGAAGCATAGCCGTTCTTGCCACCAACAGCACACCCCACTGAAGGGACAAACAAGCACACAGAGAGACCAGGTATCAAAAGCCATCAATATCCAAACTTTTAGCTTGGTTTAAACAGAGAGTAAAGTACCAGTCAGATTCCTTCAACACATTCATACAATTGCATTAGCGTTAGAAAGCAGTAAGCAAAGGTAAACTCTCCATAATCCAGCTTTTGCACATAGCTTTTTAAAAGCCCCCACTTCCTCAAGTAGGATTTGCCAGACAGTTTGATTTACATTTTGAGCTAAGCAGGAAAAAAAAAAAAATTCTCTACTTTGACAATATCATCCCACTCTTCCCAGGCTAAAAAGTTACTAATATTTCCATGCTTTTAGAGAACTAACCTGGTGAGCAGCCTTGGTCAGTGCAGACTTCGAAGCTCCCCCTGCACAAAGAGGCTCTGGTGAAGATGAAACTAAACTTACTCCCTCGGATGTTCTTATTGGCAGCCAGCAGTATAATCGTACAATAGGTGGGAGGTAACTTGAAGGGGGAGGTCAGGAGCTGTGCTCTGTCCTTACAACCACAGACTTTACAGGTGCAAAACACAGTCATTTATTTTTCCTTTTCCCAGGATTACTTATTCCTTTTTTTAAAAAATGTTTGCATGTTTATTGTCTTATTCCCTTAACTTTGCCCACGTGATGTTGCTGCTCAGGGAAGAGCAGCTCTGAATAATGTACTTACATCAGAACAGACATTTAGGTTTTCATTTCCTAGAAAACACATCCCACATGGGGAGGCTTTCCATAATAATAAGGCTGATTCCCTAAGTGCTTGTCACAGGCCATGTAGCCCAGCCACTACAGCAAAATTAACTGAGCAATTACCATACACATATAAATTTCACTTCATAAGATACTAATATTACAGTTTCTACACTAACATGCCCCAAATACGTAACCACCCATGCCCTGTGCAAGTCATGACAGTTTTGGATGCAATTCCAATTTTGTGGAGAATCTGTGGCACCAGGACAGCACTTTTTGTTTCCCAGCAGGATGCACATAGTGTGCAGAGATCCCAGAGAGGGTCTGAGTGGCTGTTTCTCAGGAGCAAGTCAAGTTTGATGCATCCCATGGGAAGTGCTGATGGTGAGATTCCCTTCTCTCTTGCCCTCATGAAGAATGGGGAAAGGAGAAGTTCAGGCTAAAGTTCAATATGACAGCTTTGTCAACAGGCTGGAATTTAGGGTGCTTTAAGTGAAGGCTTTTACCAGTAGTGCTGCTGAGAAAACAGGGAGCCATGCCTTTAAATGCTTCCCTTGACTTCCAGCAGCTCCAAAGTTTAACTGTGTCTGTCCCTGCTTTACAATGGGGCTGCCTGGCCACTCCCTGGCTGGATCATACACGGTGTTCTTTGTAAGACTATTGCAATAGGCTATGAAAACTAAGGTTTGCAAAAAGTTGTAGATCAGCAGATTCTCCCTAGAGGAGGAGATGCCTGACATCCTACCAGCTGGCTGGATGAGGCTCATGGCCTAGGAGTCTGCTGGGGAGGAGAGAAACAGGAAGCTGAAATGCAGTCAGGTTTTTTAGGTGGTAAGAAGGAAAGGCTCCAGAGAGACCTCAGAGCACCTTCCAGTATCTAAAGGGAGCTGGAGAGGGACTTTTCACAAGGGCATGTAGTGACAGGGCAAGGGGGAATTGCTTTGAACTGGAGGAGGATAGGTTTAGTCTATATTACAAAGAAATTCTTCATTGTTAGGGTGGTGAGGCACTGGAATAGGTTGCCCAGAGAAGCTGTGGATGCCCCCTCCCTGGAATGTTCAAGTAACATGTTTGAGTAACATGGTCTAGTGGAAAGCATCCCTGCCCACAGCATGGGGTTTGAAACTAGATGATCTTTAAAGTCCCTTCCAAACCAAGCCATTCCATTTTTATTTCTAAGAAGACAATGAAGAATTCCACTGAAACCAGTACTCACCAATTTATCATGTACTACAGTAAATGCAATACTGATGAAGACTCAGGAGCATAGATTAAAAAAAAAATCTCCCTTAACAATTTTTGCTTTCTCTGCAAAGAACAAAGTATGGATTACACAGTCTACCACAAGCAGAAACTAATTTATTCCAGTTTGGGCCACTGACATGTAAAAGTTTGTGCCTGTTCTCTGTACCACTTAAAACAAGTCCAAACTGCAACTTCAAACATGACCACAAATGAGCAAAGCCACTTTCCCCAGCATGCTGCCTCATACTATTTGCACAAACCAAGATGTCTTCAGTGGTGAGAGGTGTGTTCATTCACAGAGGGTCCATGAATCCCACTGGGGGCTGCTGGCACAGGAGAGTGCCTGGGGGCCTCTTTCTAAAGCTCTGGTCCCACCAGTCCTTTCCAGAGACAGAGTAACAGTCTCAGGGTTCTGTTTCAGACATGGAGAAGGTCTTCTGAATCAGAAACTTCACCTTTTTTCTAGATGTCTCCGCAGCTTCAATGGAAGAACGTGCTACCCACAAACCTTGCTTCCTTCCCACAGCTTGAAATGGCTCAGGCAAAAGGGAAATTCCTGCAATGGTAAAAGCTGCAGGAGAATGGAGCTCAGTAAGTGCAAGGGAAAATTTTCACAGCCCTCAGAAATATAGTTGAGGGTCAGATGCACATCTCACCAACACTGAAGCCATTGCAGTCAGTACAAGCACAGAGGTGCTCCCATGTCTGCTCATCCCTCATCTCTCTCACGCCAGGGACACTGCACACACTGGAGAGGGTCTTGGGTAGCTGATCAGACAGGAAATGATGCTATGGCTGGGAGAGTGTAGTGACATCTGGGCAAGGGGCCTGAACCCCTGTGCCACAGGCACCCAAACATAAAGTCCAGCACAGAGTGAAGAGCTCACAGCCAGGGCCAAAGGGTACCACCAGCTTCACAGCAGCTCTTAGTCACAGCTGGTCAGACCTAAAAGTGGTTTCAAATCCCTCTACAATCGCATGCTAGTGTCAGCAATGGTTTGTCACAAGATGTTTCACACATCTTGTATGAGAAAGATAACACACATCTTCTGGCTGAGCTTCTGCTTCAGCCTTGCTACCTTTTTGTGCTTTCAGTGGTACCACTCTTTCTCCAGGTCACTCAGACTTACAGGATAATGCCCTGTGGGAATCAAGCTTTACCTCAGGAGCTCATAAGGTAAAAAAACAACTAAAGTAAAAATCAACAAATCAACCCTCTTATTACAAAGAGACCAGTCCAACTAATACATTTTGTAGTGTGCCACTTCATTAACTGCCTAATTCTCGCTGAGTTGCACCTGCACACAAGAAGAACTACCAGAGGGTGCAAGTGTGGATCCTCCTGTACCTATCCCCATCCCCATCACCAGAGAACAGTGGGAAGCAGGAGAACCTCAGCAGTTCAGCTGCTCTTGGGTCATCTCCAGAGGCTTTCTGGAGTAATCTGACCCATGGCTAATTTCTAGCTTAGACATGTGCTCTGTGCCTTTTCTATGGCAGTTTTATCCCAAGCTGACAGCTTCCTCCAGAGCAATGGAGGGGATGACAGACCTTCCCTTCTGCTGTCCCTTGTGTCTGCCATACGTGGTGTCCTTGCTTTAACACCTGAGTAGGAGCGAAGTGAACAGCCACACAGGATGCGTCATGACGTTAATCCAGCATTAACCAAGGTATTGGCAGAAGGACATCCAACACACTTTGCAATGCTATTTGATGGGTGAAAAGTATTTTTTTAATGTATTGATGTTATTTAGCAGAATAAGTTGTACTCTGGATTAAAAGGGCCTTTACTACTTAATAATAATGATGTTTTTTAAGACAGATGGGAGAAAGTATTGAGAGAGCTGAACCAGGAGAGATGATGTGCAAGATGGGGAAGCTGTATGGCTCCACACCTGCTGCATGTACAGGGCCCCAAGTCCTCTTCAGAGGAGAGCTTTGCTTCTCCATGACAGTATCATGATCCAACATTGCTCACCCTGACGGAAGGGTAGGTTATAATCTCTGATGGAAGCTCCCCTACTGGATTTTAACAATAATACCAAACAGGACTGCCTTGGTCTGTCTGGCCTCAGCTGCTGAGCCAATTGCGGCACCTGTGGTGTTTTGCACCCCAGAGATGCTCTGGTTAGCTATGAACACTTGGGGACAAGTCCAGGCACGTCCTGAGCTCCAGTGCTTACGGCTGAAGCTTGCTATTGATGAGGGCCACTCCTCAGGCCTTCCTGAGCTGGAGAAACCTTTAAGGTGAGGTGAAGGAAGGAGTGAGTCCTGATGGAGAGCTTTTAATCCAGAGTTCTTATTTTGGGCCGCGTGGCCTCTGAATCCTGCAACAACTCCAACAGGACTCTCGACCACGTGGTGTGCTTGCCCTTTTACCTGGGGAGAGGGGTAGGGGAGGGAACACAGGGAGCACCAACCAGGTACAGGGGGAGGGGGTCTCAGGTGAGAGGGACAGCTGGGTGGGCCAATGGGCCCCAGGAGGTGGAGAGCATCCTTTGAACCTGCCAATCACTCGACGCTCCCCTTGGAATTTCTGGGTTGATAGACAGTGCCCAGCAGGGGTCAAGGGTGGGGAAAGGAGAGGTGATTGACACACCACCTGGGGAAGAACTTCAGGGGAAGAACTGGGGAAACTGAGGCACACCATGACAACACACTGCAACACTCCCCAGCAGTTTAACCTCCATTTTTCTGACTTAACATGTAATAAATAAATCAGCCCTGAGCAGCTCGAATTCTTGAAGGCAATTTTTGCCTCTCGCTTCCCCTCCTGCCTCTGATTTCTCAAGCAAATCCTGAAGACAGCAGATACAACACTCACTGCCTTTGCACCTGCCCCATATGGATGTTTTCCCTGTGCGCACGCCCCAAGATCTCAGAGGACTCCTGACAGCACAGCATCTCACAGCTGGGCTGAGACATGGGAAGGAGTGAGAGAACACTTCCCCCATCCTACCCAGCACATGAGAAAAAACCCACCAGCAGTCACGCCCAGGTGCTGCTGGCACTGGCCCTGCTGTAGAGGCAACATTCATCAGATAAAGACACGATAAGGGAAGAAACCCTCTAAGTGCCAGAGTCCTGCTTGGGGTTGAGCAACCAAAAGTTTATCACCTGTCACCTGGGAGAGGAGGCATGCACTGCACACCAGACCTTCAGCCTGCCCTTTACCTAGCCAAGAGCAGTCCCACCAGCTCCAGGGACAGCCTGTGCATACACGGCCTTGGCTTTCTGCCCAGCATTTTCCTCCCAAGGAGGAGGGAGGCAGGAAACTCCCACCCCTCACCTAACAGCTACAGTCAAAGTGACACTTAACTGTGGTCTGCCACATCTTTCTCTTACTGCTTTGCTGCACCCACTGTGCAGCATCATGCATGCGGAAGTGCAGGGGAAAAATGGATCTTGCCAACTCTAAGCAAATAAATTCAAGGTGCCTTCCAGCAAATGCTTAAAAGCACAAGAATAATGCATGTTAT